CCGCTCACCCACGAGACCCCTCCGCGGAGCAGGGGGGGGGGGGGGTGTGTTGGGGGGATGGAGTCTCCACTTAATTAAGGGGTTTAATTTTTGCCCAACACTGCTCTAGTGAGACTTGCAGGTTTTTTATTGGGGCTTCTGCTCTCAGCAATGATCTGCCAATCTTCTTTGGGAGGACAGAAATTCCTAAAGCACCCATCCCAAGCTAGCATGCTGTATTGTCTAATTTCCAGGATGTCCCAACATACTGGGCACGGTCAGTTATTTGAAAGGTACTATGTCGTCTTTAATTGCTGAGCAAGCAGAGATAAACCTTATTACCAACAAAGGTCAATGTTGCACTTCTAAACTAACTACGGTGCCGGTGTATTTATGTAGTTAGTAACATTAATTTTATTTATACGGCTAGTAACGCTTTCATTCGCTTTGGTGCTGAATTTTTAACAGGTCCTTTACCTGCTTAATTAAATGATAAAATTTGAAAAAACTGTTGGCTCAAGTGTATATTAGTTCAATTTGATAAGCACCAGTAATTAATTCAAAAATAAAATGCTCAAGTAGCCCAATAGCATTACTTTAAATGCAAAACTCTCTTTAATTGAGTACTGATCTTAATATTTTTTTTTATTTTTTTATTTTTTATTTAGCTTAGCTCCTGGGTCATCACTTCTCTAATGTGGAAAGGAGGACATTTACATCTGTCTATGTAAATTGTATAAAAATAAGGCCAAGTGTTGAAATTTAGCACTTTTCTGTTTCTTGTTGGCGTGAAAAACATCGTTTCCTCTATGTTGCCCTTTTACTAAAACAATGATTAGTTCTGTACATTCTGTTCTTTGTCTTATTGTTGAAAGTGACTTTAAGCTAAATATCAAAGATTGAAATAAAAATAAACATTATGTATATATCAAGTTTCCATTAAGTATGTTATTTATTTAGCTGTTGGCTTTAGAAACATGACATCTACATAATTTTATCATAGCCCACTATCATCAAATTCCTAAAGCTAAAGCCAAATCAGAGGGCATGTTATGAGATGTAGGGTTACTTTTAGATCAAGATTAATTCTACCAAGATTATTTCTAGCTCTCTGGAAATAGTTCAGTTGATCTTCAAGGAATCTAAAAAAGAGAGGGCAAGCTTATTGATAAGCTCTAGTTTTATGACTTAATAAATAATATCAGCCATAGCAGTGCGGTCCCTAAATTGCCCATAATCTATAAGCTTGTCTATAAAATAAATGTTTTACAGTACCATTGCATTCTGCATAGCATCTATCATACTACCAACATGGCCTCAGACATACCACTAATTCTGTATTAGTAGCAGTATATTCTGAACAAACTGCAGGGCAGAGAGAATGAATGGAAAAAGCAGAGCACACTTTCTTGGGGTAGTTATCCTATATAGTTAACAGGTTTTTAGGCATTTGTAGTGCTATGAAACTCATTTGCCAAAGTTATGCCAACTTTATCCTAGGGAAGTTCTCCTCTAACCAGCCATATTCTATTCCACTAACTGGACAGCACTCATGAAATCAGGAATTCAATCCTTGTTTTAGCCTTGGACCAAAATTTACCTACTGTGCTCCTTCAGCCAGGGTACATTGAGGACGTAATTGTTTTAGTACTGAGGTGAAAGCTTGTCTGTCAAATGGAACAAAAGAACAAATTCAGCTTTTCCAGTGAACGCAGTGCTTAGAATTGATTTGGGAAATCCTTTTCAAAATTACTATCCATTAAACAACCATTCACACCTTTTTGTGAACAAAGTTAACTACTTGGCCTACTAACTACTGTTAATTGTAGTTACCCAGAGTCACCTTGTGTGAGGTGGGCAGCTATATAAATATAACTCTCACCAACTATCCAGAAAGGAATTTCTCTGTTTCGAAGGTTTTGCATCCTTAAGAACTGTATAGAAAGTGTAGCTTCCTAAACTATTCACTTCTACTTATGCAGTTTTAGAAGCAGCTACTGGAGGAGTATTTCCCCTATCCTGATAGCATCATCAGATTCTAGGCTTTCCCACCCTCATCAGGAATAATCCCTTCAACTAAAACAATCTTACAGATCACTCCTGTAAGACCCATGTTCTGTTAACTCCCAGAGACACCAGCTGCAAAGAGTATTAGAAATGACAGCTCCAAGTTAAGCTAGGAGGGGAGCATAATACAAGGCCCAAAACATCCTTCCATACCTGACATTATAGTTTTAAATTAAAAGCACAGGTGATGAGAACAAGACAAAACAGAGCAAGGAAATAAGATAGTGCTTCCTTTGGTATAGGAAGAATAAATTCTTACTAAAGATTTTGGGGGACCATTAAAATATGTATATATTTATCATTTAAATGTATGCATTTCTTTCTTAAATGTAACACATGCAGCAAGGACCTATAAAGTTTTGTAATTAAAATTCAAACTTATACCAACTGATATTTTGTAATTATTGCAATATTTTCTGATTCTTCACAACTCATCATGCTAGTTAGAAAAAACAGGAATGTGGGAAAAAATGTAAAAAAAATTGTGGCTGGTATTCAAGACAAACCATCCAGTTTCAGCCTTTGATGGAATTAAAGAACCTCCAGGAATACAAATTACGTTATCTGGCATAGTAGCCCTCCCTAATCTGGGCACCCTCAGATGCACAAACTCCATGCTAGCTGAATAAGTGGTCAAAATACCTGAAGGACACCCTAAAGCCCTACATGGCACAGGGCCAGGGTATTTGCAGGACTGCCTCTCCCTGAGGTTATCTACCTGTCCTACTAGACTAGATAGGGCGGGTGTGTTCCAGGTCCCCCCCCTCAAATGTTGCCATCTGATGGGACCTTGGAGGCACACCTTCTCGGTGGCTGCCCCAGCCCTTTGGAACAGCCTCCTGAGGGATCCCTGCCCTTTTAGCCTTTCAGAGGGCTGTAAAGACCTGGCTCTTCCCCCAGGCATTGGGCTGGGATGGGGGTTGAGCTGTGAGGATGACTGGTCTAGTGCCTGGGGGGAAGGATACTTATAGAGGATACTTTCCTTTTTAAATGTTTTTTAATGGGTCCAATTCAGGGTGCTGGTTTTGATCTTTAAAGCCCTTTGTGGCATGGGGCCGGGTTATTTGAGGGACCGCCTCTCCCCAGTTAGATCTGCCTATCCCATCAGATCCAGCAGAAGAGGTACGCTATGGGTCCCATCTGCCAGGGAGCTACACTTGGTGGGACCCAGGAGGCAGACCTTTTCTGCCATAGTGCCCGCCTTATGGAACATCCTTCCCCACAAGTGAGGCTGCCTCCATCCTTGGTATTCCGGAAGCCCACCAAAACATGGTTATGCCATTAGGCCTGAGGGCCCCTGGGGACCGGCGAGGTACTGAAGTGGCTCCATTGTTGTTAATATCTGCTGCCTGCTTAGCCTTTAATTGCAGTTTTTAAAGAAATTTTTGGATAAGAACAGTTTTTTATATATTACTGTTTTATAGTTTTTATTGTATGCCGCCCAGAGTCACTTTTTTGTAAGATGGGCGGCCATATAAATTTGATGGATGGATGAAACAGATTGTCGTGAGCCACCTAGAATCATTGTATGAGACAGGCGGCTATGTAAGTCCTGTAAGTAAGTAAGTAAGTGTGTGTGTGTGTGTGTGTGTGTGTG